AAAAAACAAGGTACAGAATAAGAACAAGATCTCCTGGTATTCTTGGAAGAAACCAAACAGATGGGCTATATTTGGATTAAATGTAAGATGTTAGCTGTGGTAGTTTGCCTGTGGGGTGAAATGAGGGGGCTGCTGGTTAAGGAAAACCTATTTTTTTTTTACCATATGCTATTTTGTGTGTTTAGATAAAATATTAGCACACAAATGTTTATTACAAACAAACATGTTAGGAGGAAGTTTATGTGTACAGCTAGGGGGAAGGGATGCATGGATGTACACACGGATGGGTGGGTGGCCGGGTGGCTGGAAGTGTTTGCACATTCTGCATTCTGTCTGTGGATGGGGATTGCTAGACACCCGTCTGTGTGGGGGCTGAGGACAGCCAGGAGAGGTGGAGGTGGGGTGGGCTGGGCTGCTGGTGCAGTGGTCCAGGCGAAGAATGATGGGCTAGGATCAGATTGTTGAAATGTCTCTCCTGTGAATAACTCTTCAGAGTTATCTCTGTAGGCCCCAGCATGGGTCTCTTTCTAGAAAGACAAATGCCTCTGGCACGCGCCTTTCTTGGCTACTGCTCAGAAGCATTTCTGTGTATAATAACCACCAACAGCTTAATCCCCTTTCAGCTATCACTGCAAGACTTGTAAGTGGTGTGGAACCAATTAAAATGATCAGCCTTTGATATAAATCACTCCTCTCCCAAATCATGTTCTTCTTTATGAGGCCCTCTTCCAAAGGCCCACATCCACCAAAGCCTGAGCCTTGTTTCTTAATTTTTAATTTTTTGACGGTTTCTTCGTGTCTCAAAGTTTTCAGATGATGTCTCTTGACTGCTCAAGTTTACTTTTCAATAAACCTTTGCTCATGGTTCTGGAAAAATAAATTTTTCTTTTTTAAGACAAGGTTTCACTATATAGCCCAGGCTGGGCTTGAACTTACAGTGTAGCCCAAGCTGTACTCCAGCTGTCAGCAATCCTCCTGCCTCGGCCTCCTGAGTGCTGGGATTATAGGTGTGTGCCATTATCTCTGGCAGAAATAATGATTTGTATCATAGAATAGTTGTATTTCTGAAGAATAGTGTTGGTACTTGCTTTATATCCAGATATCTGTCTGTCTCTCCAGACTCCCAAACTTTTATTTTACATAAATAACCATCTGCACGATTTTTATTTATTTAATTTTTTGTCTTTTTGAGACAGGGTCTCGCTATGCAATTCAGGCTGGCCTTGAGCTCATTTTGTAGCCCAGGCTGGTCTCAAACTCTCAGTGATCCTCCTGCCTCAGCCTCCCAAGTGCTGGGATTACAGGTGTGCACCACCATGCCTGGCTCATGAATGATTTTTAACTGTGTAGTTCTGTGACATATTCCTATTACATCTAGCTAGATCTCTTTTGAAGTTCTTGGCACAAATATTTTCATCAGTTGTCCACTGTATTCTCTTTTTGGGGGGGCTGGGGAAGGAACCCAGGGTCTCACGCTTGCTTGCTAGTCAAATGCTCTTCCACTGAGCTGCACATCCAGCCAGCAGCCATTTTCTGGAGTTGAAACAATCAGCTTGCTTCTCAAATGCTCTTAATCAACATTTGTTTTGGACATAGCTCAAAAGTTTGTGTGGCATTATAAGTTTCTGTGCTCCTCACAGTTCCTTGGTGGCCTCGCTGTGAGTCCAAGGCACTGTTGGGACTGGAGCTGTTGCGGAGGTTTGTCATCTGCGGTGCCAGTGGGCTGGCTGGGGAGAGGTTCAATCGGAACCTTTTCCAAGGACAGATGTGTGTGGAGCAGAGATGCAGGCCCGTGTTCTGATTTTTGCGAAGAAACCCTAAGGTCAAAATTTTATATAAAATGGGCTGATGATTCTAAATGCTAGCAACTAATCTGGGTTCTTAAGGCATCCCTAAAACTGCCACAGTAAACCACCATAAGATAAATTTGCCTTGACATGAGTGCTGTGTTATCCTTCTCATTTTATGCAGTCTAATTCAGGACGGAGATGGGGAGCTGAGGTCCTGTCATGGGCAGTCACTTCTCCCAAGGGTGTATACCCAGTCCACAGCCAGCTCAGGACTCGGCAAATTGAGATTTTCTATTATAGAATTGTGCAGCTTATGGACATTAATTTTTGGACAGATATACTTGATCTAGCTACATAGGTGTGGATCTGTTTATAGCATGCCTCTTTAACAAAACACAAGCTTTTTATCCCCTGCCCTTTTCTCTCCCCCCAGTACTAGGGACTGAACTCAGTGGTGCTACATTCCCAGCCCTTATTATTTTGAGACATTATCTTGCTAAACTGTCCTGGCAGGCTTCAAAACCTGCAGTGCTTCTGCCTCAGCCTCCCTCAGTGCTGGGATTATTATATTTTACTTTTTGAGATAGGATATACTTATGTAGCCATGTCTATCCACAAACTTGTTAAATGGCTTCAAATTTATGATTATTATGACTCTCCTGTCTCAGCCTCCTGAGTGTAGATAGAGATTTTTTTTTCTTTTTTTTTTTTTTTGGTACTAGGGATCGAACTCAGGACCTTGCACTTGCCAGGCAAGCACTTATTCTACTGAGCTATCTCCCTGGCCCTAGTGTGGATAGTTTAATGGTGGGATACAGGAATTTTAACCCCATTACCTGAATAATTTTTTAAGAGAAGCTGCTTTTTTTATTCATTGCCTGAATTTGGATTCATTTACAGGCCATCATAGCTATGTGATCCCTGGGTTCAACTTCTCTATGACTTAGTTTTTATTTTATTTATTGTTTTTGGTTCCTTTGTTTGAAACAGCATCTTGCTATGTAGTTCAGGCTGGCCTTGAACTCTCTGTAGTCCAGCCTATCCTCAAACTTGCAACTCGCCTTTCTCAGCCTCACTAGTGCAGGGATTACATGCCTGGCCCTGGTTTTCACATTTTAAGAAAGTAGATGATAAAATACTTGTAAAATTAAGGAACATAGTAAGTGTTTTATCTAATCATTTGACTAATCATTTGACATAGGGCCTGGCGCCCAGAGCTGCTGGCAGGCACTGGCTATGGTGGTGGTGGTGGTGAAGGCGATGAAGAGGATCAGGAAGCTTTCAGTTCACAGGATGGTGAAGTCAGAGTGACCCGTGTGGCTGAACGGTCCTCTGTGTACAGAGGAGCACCTTACATGGTCTCTTTAAGAGGTCCTGTCTGTATTTGTACAGTGGTGGGACTTGCCATGCATTCCAGGACAAGTGCCTTGTCTGTTCTGTAGGATGAGCTGTGACATCAGTGTTGCCATCCCTTGCTGCTTGCTCTTCCTGGCCAGCAGCCTTCGCGTGCTGGCTGGTGCACCCCACCAGGCGCTGTGTGCAGAGCTCTAGTCTGTCTCTGGTTGGCCCCCCAGCAGCTGTCTGAGCCTGGGCCAGCCCCTCTTCCTGGCTGTGGCAGGGTCCCTAAGCTGTGCTGTCCTGTGTCTGCAGGACTGGAATGTCACGTGGCACACCAGCAACCCTGACTTCACCAAGTGCTTTCAGAACACCGTCCTCATGTGGGTGCCTTGCTGCTACCTCTGGATCTGCTTCCCTTTCTACTTCCTCTATCTCTCCCATCATGACCGGGGCTACATCCAGATGACACACCTCAACAAAGCCAAAACTGTAAGTCACCCAGGACGCCACTGGGGCGGTGGGGTTGGGGCGCCCATGGGGGTGGGGGGGAAGCGCGGACGGGGGCAAACTCACATTTTTCTTTTATTTAACTGGCCCTATGTTCCTTGTTTTGAAGGGAGAAGAGTAATGGGTAATAAAAAAATGGAGCTTTGCAGCCAAACACGGGTTCATATCTCAGCTCTGCCATGTTCTGGCTCTGTGACCTTTGACACATTTTTTTAACTTCAAGCCGTAGGTTTCTTCATTTATGTGGCAGGGATGAAGATAGCCTTGTTATTAGGGGTCATCAGAAGTTACCAGAAGGTTTTCCTTCTCCCCTATTAAAACTATTTCCACTTTATTTTCCACTTTCAAATATTTATTTTGAAATAATTTTAAATTACATGCAAATCACAAGCAAGCCTGTGGCACGTGTGCTGCGATGGGCTGTTTATTATCTATCACTGCCCTGTACCCGTTGCTCATGTTCACCGGTGTTGGGGTCTGTGGCAGGCGGTATTCCTGGCAGGGATGCACGGCAGGCCAAATCACTCACTTCATGGCTAGAAAGGTAAAGAGGAACAGGATGTCACAGTGCCCAGAGACCTTTACCGGCATTCCACCTCAGAGCCTGTGGGGTGTCCCTCAGGGAGGTCCCTGGGTGGTAGTGATGTGTCCACATGGGCTCATCTCAGGATCAGTGTGCCACACTGCGGCAGGGGCTGGTAGAGGGAAGACAGCATGTGGGCTGTGGGAGCTGGACGGGGGGTCTCTCCATCTTTCTCTTAATTTCTCTGTGACCCCAAACTGCTTTAAAAAAAAAAAAAGACTTTAAGAAATATCGCTTGCTTCCCTACCCTTACTAGATGGGATGTCTTCTTTGCAGATGTATAGGAGTTCTTTATATGTTTCTTAGGGAACATTATCATTTAAAAAATGTGAATCAGATTTTATCCTTTAGCTTGCTCCAAAACCTTCCTTTAGCTTCCCACTGCCAGGAATACAATCTGGAGCTCCTCCTGATGGAGCACGCTTAGCTCCAGCACAGGCTGCTCTTGAGCCATCACCTACCATAGCCGTTGCTCCTTCCACAGCTGCAGCAAGCCCTTCGGGCACGTTCCTACCGCAGGCCCTTTGCCCTTCCGGCACACTTTGCTTGGGTTATTTTTTTCTCCACAAAATCATTTCCTTTAACTCTTTACTTAGATGTCACCTGATTGGGGAGGCCTTCCCCAACCACTCTCAATGAACTCATTTTTCTGCACAACTATTACTCTCTGGCATGATAGTGTGTGTTCTTCACTTTGTTTCTTTCCAATATTTTTCCACTCTCAGTCCATGAAGGCAGGGACTTGCTTTTGTTCTCCATTGTTTTCCCCCACACTTGAAACACTGGAGATGCATAGTAGGCTCTCAGTGAACACTGACTGGATGCACTTACTGAGTGCGCAGCTGCACGTGAGAGGCTCTACAGTGGGCGGGGCTTGCAGCCCACGTGAGCCAAAGGCTCAGCTCTTATGTGTTTGATGAGGGGGCGGCATTAGCTGAACATGGCAGAGGGGCTGGAGCCCTCTGCTCTTCTGCTTGTCCATATTCCCAGAGCTGGGGCTGGTCACAGGGCTGGCCTTTGTGGGGTGCAGGGGACAGTGCAGCGCTGTGTGTGAGATGTGTGTGTGCTTTCTTGCAGGCCTTGGGATTCTTGCTGTGGATTGTCTGCTGGGCAGACCTCTTCTACTCTTTCTGGGAAAGAAGTCAGGGCAAGCTTCTTCCCCCAGTGTTGCTGGTCAGCCCCACCCTCTTGGGTATCACCATGGTAAGTAGGGGCTGGCTACACACTTCTGCCAGGCCCTGTTGGGGACCGAAAATAGTAGTTGGTGACAGAGGAAGGGGAAGTAAGAAAGAATTACTGTGTGGTGTACATGTACCAGCTCTGCCCCCATGAATAGAAACATGATAAAAATTTAAATTTAAATTTGAAGTAGTAGTAGCTGGCAATTAGATGTAAGGCAAACCCAAGGTGAAAATCCAGAGTCCTGCTTCTCTTGAAAAATCCTGAGACCTGGCAGTGCTGGATACACAATTGTCTCAGAGAAGGATCCCCTGAAGTGGAGATGCGGCTGCAGCCTGGAGGTGGGCACCACAGTCCCCGCCCTTGCTGTTGCCTCCCGTCCTGCTGCTGAGTGGTAAGTGCCTTCTTCCATTGTGTTTGCTGCCTTGTGTTCTCAGACTCTCTACCTCTGTCACTTATGCCACTGGCGGGGACCTCATGGCCTTGCTGTTTCTGGGCTGTGGGGTAGCAGGTACGGTACCCAGCTCCCCAGAAAGCTACTTCGCTATTAAGCCTTGAGTTGTTGAGGGCTTTCTGTGCTTGGCTGGGTTCCTGTTTGACTTGTTTTGAAATTTATCTGATTCCCAGAACAAACCTGTGTGGCATAGGTACTCAGTTGTCCCTTTTTACAGGTGAGGAAATGAGGGTGTAGGAAAGTGAAATGCATTACTTCCCAGCTAATGCACTGTGGAGCAAGGGCAGGGCCCCAGGCCTTTTAGTCTTTTAGTCACTGCATTCTGTAGCAGCTGTGGCTGCAGAGCTGCTTGCTTGCAAGCCAGCGCTATTTCCCTATGTGCCTCAGGCCTGGGACCCCGGGGAAGCCTGGAGGGTTCTCAGGAGCAGGGCCCTTGAGCCCTGGGGAAGGAGCAAGCTGAAGCAGGCTGCTGTGAGCAGGGAACATGTCTGGGGAAGCACTGGGGGCTCAAGGGCAGTGTGGGGGGAGGGCAAGTTGCCTGGGAAGCGGGATCAGAGTGGGAGGTGGGGAGGAGGGGCTCAGAGAGGTGAGGGAAGGTGAGGCACAGCTGGACAGGGAAGGCCACGGCCAGGTCACACTTGTGTACAAGGGTCCCCCGTTCTGAGCCAGGCACCAGCCAGTGTGTGGCAGCTCATTTGTGTGTGTTTGATCATTTTGCCCATGTTACAGGTAAGTGAATGGAGGTGCAGGGAGGCAGAGGAACTGGGCCAAGGTCACACAGCCTGAAAGTGGTAGAACCAGATTGCAGAAGTGGCCCAGGTGTCTGTGCTGCCATGCAGTCTTTGTGGGTGTCCCGCAGGGCCTCACTTCTCTTTGGGATGGCATTAGGAGTCTGAGAGGGGACACAGTCTCACTGTCCCACTGTGTTCTTAGGACACCATATCTGACTTTTGCAGCTTAAATGAGGAAAGAGTTAGTTATGGTCAGGGGATTCAGTCTATGCATATCTGGCTCCAGGGCAAAAACTTTGCAGTGAAGGGCCTGGAGGAGAGAGCTGCTGAGTGCGTATCCACCTGGAGAGGAGCAGGTGGGAGCAAGGGGCCAGGGGCCAGATGCAGTCCCAAGGCCATGGCACAGCAGCCCTCCCGGACACACCTAGAAGTGCACTTTAGTAATCCCTGAGAGATCCCCAAGCCAACAACTGTCACTTACTGCATCCCGGAAGTTGGCAAGGAGGGTGTGCAGCTGGGGAAACAGACACAGAACAAAAAATTCCCCCACAATGGTCCAGAATGTATCTATGAATGTAGAGGGCCATGAGGATCAAGTCACAGGACTTGACTTGGTCTGAGCGTAGGGAGATGTCCCTCAGGAAAGGGCAGTGCAGCTGAGGCCCCTAAGGGTGAGCACAAGGAAGAAACTGAGAGCCCAGGATCCTGCCACTGAGAACAGCGTGCACAGAAGTCGTGGGGCAGGAGCGGGGAGGCACTGAGAGCCTGCCTCTGGCTGGAGCAGAGGTGCAGAGGCTGGGTGGGGGTGGGGCAGCAGGGAAGGCAGAGGCTGAGCCTGCTGATGCTGGAGCATCAGGGCCAGTGGCTTGTGCCCTCTGGACCCCAGCCAGCCTTTGCCAGCCTGGCTAAGTCTCCTTATAGTAGCATTAAAATATATGGGATATTAAGGGAAACCAATCACTTTTACACACACACAGATGATGTGGTATACACGTATAGATATACTCAAGGTTTAATTTATATTCAGCATAATTCTTCTTTTCTCCTGTACTCCTGACACCTGAGAAGCACGTATTGTTGTGTGTTCTTCTGCACTGTCAGCCTGGAGAGCTGTTCGTCCCCCCGCGTTACTTCCTACTGCCATTTGGGTCCATTGCCCACCCCTCCCTGCGTCCCACCCTGTCACTGCATAGGATAGGTGTTTCTGCCCTGTACTGTGCGTCACCAGGGCGTCATGGGACCGAGACTGTCCTGCAGCTTTAGCTTTGCAGCGCTGGAGTCTGGCCATTGCATGTATCAGAAGATCTTCTCTTAGATTGGGCATGAGGCCCCACACATGGAATCCTAGCACTCTGGGGTGAGGGAGAGTCAGAAAGACAAGCCAGAAGGATTGTGAGTTTGAGCCCAGTTTGGGCAATTTAGTAAGACCCTGAACATTTGCTTGTGTGGCCACACATGCCTCATTTACCTATTCCTCAGCTGTGGGACATTTGGACTAGGAAATGAATCAAACACAGTTATCAAGATGCCAAAAAGAAAATCTGATGAAAAAGATATGTGTTTCTCTGTTACTGTATGTCAAATCTAGCTTTAACTGTAGGTGGGATGACACCTTAATCTCCAGGTAGCAGCGTCTGTGTGTGATAGTGGGCAGCCTTCTCAGCTGCTTCTGTGGAGTGTGGAGATGCCTGATTTGGGCTGATGACGAGTTTAGGTGTCCTGTACAGTGGTGCTGTGCTTCTTCCCTCCTCCTTGGCAGGGCTGATCAGAAGCTATTTCTGTCATGGAGCACTGGCTCCTGGCCACAGTCCATCCTTGCGCCCCAGGTCACACTGGTTCTGAAGAAAAGGCTTCAAGCAAGGATGGGCCACCCTGATTTGCATATATGACCACTGTGACCCCCAAGTGGAGCGTAGGTGGTCAGGACAGGAATGGGAGCTGATGGTGTCCTTGGCAGGAGGGGGTGGAGCAGGAGGACTTGGGGAACGCCGGGCAGGGTGCAGCCAGGGAGAACAGAAAGACCCTGGGATTCCAGGCCAAGTATCTTCAGAGAGGGCCCACCCATTCACTGTTCCTGAGTCTGGCTTGGGGCATTTTCTCTTGAAGGCAGTTCTGCCCCTCTGGAGAGTAGCATGGTGTCACATTCTTCCAAGGAGGAGCAATGTTTATTTTGTCTCTCTGCTTGTGAAATCATGCATGAAATAGAAGTAATTTTCCCGGGGAGGGAAATAAAATCTTCCATGAATTTCCTCCACCACCATCTTGTGAGCAGACTTCCTTGAAGGTGAGATGTGTAACTGTAGGCAGGAGGCGTTTTCTATCTCGGTCTTAGTACCCAGGTCTGCCAGGTGGGGCTGTTTGTGGCAGAGCACTTCAGGTGCCTTGTATGGGACCAATTTGATGGGTACCCAGTGGATATAACCAGTAACTGCAAGGGCTGGGACTTGAACTTAGGTCTTTCTGGCTCTAAATCAAGGATTTGTTGATGATGGTCCAGATCTGGCCCACTGTTTGTTTTATTTTTTTTTTGCTCCGAATGCCTTCAGGGCAGGTTTGGCTGGCTTGAGTTGTGGGGATCGAACCACAGCAACCTGAGCCTGACTGCTTTGTTGAAGTGGCCACTTAAAGAACTGAGCTAAGGGGCAGCCCCCCCCTGTTTATTTTGTAAATAAAGTTTTATTGACATAGGCAGTCCAATCCATTTGTTTACATATCAGCTACAGCTATTTTCATGATGCAGTGACAGAGCTGAGTAGTTCTGAGGGAGACTGTGGCCCTGAAGTCTAAATCTATTATGTAGGCCTTTAAGAATAGGTTGTCTGGTCTCAGCCCTAACCCCACCTTTCCCTCAGGTCTCTGTTCAGGTCACATTAAATCCCCACAACTCTGCAGGGAGGGCGCCTGTCTCTTTTGCAGCTGCGGCATTGGGGGCTTGGGAGATCCTGTGACACGCCCTGTGACACCTGCAAGGTGGTTCTTTTGCTCTTGATGGGCAGTTGTGCTTACCCGTGGCTGACATCTGCCCCAACCTGGGACCATGGCAGGCTCAGGGTCTGGCTTCTCTGACTGTCCCTGTTGCGTGTTTTTCTTTTCTAGCTGCTCGCCACCTTTTTGATTCAGCTTGAGAGAAGGAAAGGTGTCCAGTCCTCGGGGATCATGCTTACTTTCTGGCTTGTAGCCCTGCTGTGTGCCCTTGCCATCTTCAGATCCAGAATCATGACTGCCTTAAAAGAGGTAAGTGCTGGGTGTGGAGCTAGCTCAGCAGTGTAGGCACCTGCCTGGCAAGCACAAGGACCCATGTTCAATCCCTGGTACCTCATGCTGTGCCAGCCCTGAGACCAGATGTGGTGGTGCATTCCTGTAATCCCAGTGCTGGGGAGGCTGAGACAGGAGGGCAACTGCAAGTCTGAGCCGTGTAGCAAGACCCTGTACCAAATAAATAAATACAAATTTAAAAAAATAGGTAAGTGGGGACCTCTTTTGGCATCCTCTTTCAGTGCCCTGTGGAAGAGACACTTGTTCTTTCTTGTGTGTGTAGAAGTTAAAGATTGCCATGGAAACCATAGGATAGGTATCACATCTTGTCTGGGCCATCTCTGCTCAATCAAATCCTCACCTAGTCAGTTGCAGACTTCGTTGTAGAACCTTTTTTCCCCTTAATTTTCACTTGATTATGTAGCTCTGAGGGCCCCTGTAGATCCCGCAAGAGCCAGGAGCAAATACAGTGTCACTCTGTGAGCCTCTGTCAGCCATGTGTCTTTAGTCTGTGATGGAGTTAAACTGGGAGCAGTACTTGCAGTGACTTTGTCCCCAGGGCCCTAGATATGTCCCCATGTTACCTCTGTGCCATCAGCCGCTCCTCTGGCTGGAGAAGTTGTTTACATTGGCTGCTGTGTACTGCTCTGGGAATTTTGAGGAGTGTGCACTTTTTTGACTCTAACCTGCTGTTCCCAGCTATCGTGGAGCTAGTCAGAGACTGGCATGAGGCAGAAGAAGGAGACTTAGTGAGCACACAGCGGGTACAGAAAAGTTTCTCTTTGACAATGGTGGCAGCTGACATCAATTGAGTTCCTGCTTTCTCACTGAGTTTTTTGGTGACTAATATTATGATTTCTCACAATGACTGACAGGACATCTCAGCCTCAGCAGTAATTACATTTTGGATTAGAGATGACTTTGTTATGGGTTGTTGCCCTGAGTTTTGTGGGCTGATTAGGGGCATCCCTAGCCTCTACTGCTTAGGGGCCCTCCCCTCAGTGCCCCTGGATTCTGGGAGTTTTATTTCCTGGGAGGCAAACTCATCCTTAGTTGTTTGTGGATGGGGAAGCGAGACTCAGCAAGGGTAAGTACGGGCACAAGGCCCACAGCCCGCAGGAGCAGAGCCAGGCCTCAGGGGTAGCGTGATTCCCACCAGGCCCTGGTTTTCTCCTGCTGAGCAGGACCAGCCACAGGCAGCAGTGAGCATGGAGGTGCCTTTTCTTCTGTCCAGCTGCAAAGGAGGTAGCCAGAAGCCTGTGCCTGGACCTGCTTGCGAGGACGCAGGCCAACTGCCCTGCTCTCCTGGCTTATCTTTGTTAGCTTCCTGTTGCCATCATTGAGTACTACAGACTGGACCATTTACAAAGAGTAAAGATGAACTCAGTTCGTGGTTCTGGAGCTGGGGCTCCGCCGGGAGAGCCTTCATGATCCGAGCTCTGGGCAGAGATAGCCAACACGCTCAAGTCTCCTGTCTTGCTGTTAGTGGTACTGAAGATTGAACCCAAGACCTTCACGCCGAGCTCCAGTTCCAGTTATTTTTAAAATTTTTTATTTTGAGACAAACATCTCATTAAGTTGTCCAGGGTGGGCTCAGACTTGATTTCCTCCTGCCTCAGCCTTCCAAAGTGTTGGAATTCCAGGTGTGTGCCACCATGTGTGATTTGTTTCTCTTTTGAGACTGGATCTGGTCTCCAAATACCATTTTCATCCAGAGATTCAGTTTTATCACGAGTTTTAGAAGAGACAAACACCTTGGCATGGCAGTAGCTTCTGGAAAGTGATTTTCTTCTCTTCCTTTCTCTCCCATTCAGGCCACCAAAGACAACCTGTTTCGTGATGTCACTTTCTACTTGTACTTTTTCCTTGTGCTGATTCAACTCATGTTGGCCTGTTTCTCAGATCGCTTGCCTCTGTTCTCTGAAACCATCAACGACCCTGTAAGTGTGACCACAGACATGTGTGCATGCGTGCAAGAGAGAAGTATCACACCCAGCCAATACCGCTGGGTGCTGCATTTGAGCCTGTGTCACCACCTCAAATGCTGGGAGGGAAGTAATGTCACCCGCCATGCTTTACAGATGTGAAAACCAAGGTTTAGACATGGCTAGGAAGGCTTAAGGACACAATCTGCCTGGTAGTTATAGATGGCTGTGTCTTAGTGGTTTTAGAAAAAATATTGATAAACTAGTAAATGTATAAATTTGGTCTGCCCAGGTTTCTTAAAAAGTGAGATGTTCTGATAGATTTGGACTAGAATACTACAGGCAGCAGTTGGCAGGAACTGCAGACTATAGCTGGAGCTCCCCACAGTCTCTTCTGCTCCCTGTGGTCCTACATCCCCTGCCACCTTCGGTTGTGGCACGTGCCTGCACCTGAGGGATTCAAGTTTGAGATCTTTGTCTCTATCAGTTTTGGTGATACTCTGTAACAGCTGGAGAGGGGAGATGGCTGTTCTTTCTGCTGGGGGAGTATAAGGGCATTCTATCATTTAGCTCCCTAACATGCCTCCTCCCTCCTCCTTTCTGTCCCTTTCTCCTCCTTCCCCCTCCTTCCCCCCTTCATTCTGTCTTCCTCCCTTCCCTCCTTCTCTTCATTCCTTTTTTTCCCTTCCCTTCTTCCCTCCGTCCTCCCAGCCTGTATCTGGGCATTGGCTAGGGCAGTGAGCAGAGCAGAGTTCTTGCCTACTTGAGCTCATGTTTTCAAGGGTAAGGCGCAAACATTAACTTAGGACTCTGTTGTATGTCGATGGTGCTAAACACTGAGATAGAAGAAAGTAGGGGAGAGGCTATGGAGGATGCTAGCCAGGGCCTTGTGCAGTGTTTGATCAGAGCCATAGGGCGAGACCTCCCCAAGAACATGCATGTGGACAGAAATCTCTGGAGACGGAAGCAGGCTGGGCAGGTTCCTAGAGGACAAGTGGTCCAGGCAGAGAGGCAGAGCTGCTGTGAGTGCAAGGCCCTGTGGGCGGAGCTGTCTGGGAACATGCAGAGAACTTCAGAACACCCAGTGTGACTGCAGCAGCACGAGACTCGAGAGGCGAGCTGGCCACCGAAGGTCCCCTGGACTCTGGATGTTTCTGGAGCGAGGCAGGAAGCCCTTGGGGTGGTACGGGATGTTCGTCGCTGATCTGTCAACTGTGAATGGGCAGACTGCAGTGGGAGTACATTTCAGCTGCTGTGAGTTCTGTTGAGTTTGGCCTGGACCTCAGCAAAGGGCTGAGGCTTGCACTGTGGCTGACAAGAGGCCTGGGGGCCATCGGCATGGAGGAGGAGGTTGACACAGCTGAGCGGTTATGGGAACCTGTGCCCCGTGTGTTCCAGGAGGCCCAGCTGCTGAATGTTCCTGCTCAGGGAGAAACAAAGCTGGAGTCTTAGCCCAGGGTATATGTGTTTATGAGTTCATGCATCTGTGTGTGCACCTGTGTAGTTTTGTATGTTCACATGTGCATGTGTGTGCACTTACATGTATGTCTGATTGCACATTTGTATGTTTCTGTGTTCATATCCACAGCTATTCATGAATGCATGTGTGGCTCCGTCTGAATGTGTGCATAAAGTTCAAAAATGCAGTGTCTGTGTGGGGGGTCCCCATTGGACTCTTGGCTCCTGCCTGGCAGTGGGTAGACTCTTCATCTGTCTCTGGGTGGGAGGTAGCCCCAAGTGTTTGCTTCGGGAGACACCTACTTGGGTTGTTCTGTAGAATAGGGATCACATCAGACACGTCATGCCTTCCTGATTGGTTGTAACCCCTGGGTTGCACTGCAAGTAGACCAAATCCAAGTGGACCTGACAGGCCAGGGTGGGGGGGGGTCACCTGATCCTTCACACTTCCAGGAAGCTTTATGGGGAGGGACTTGCTTGTCTCCTAGGGGGAATCGACATAAAAATCCATTCTACAGCCAGGCCTGGTAGCACAAGCCTGCAGCTCCAGCATTCTGGGAGGCCCACACGGGAGGATCACAAGTTTGAGTCTAGCATGGGTAGCTTAGTGACATAGTGAGAAGCTGTCTCAAAATAAAAAATAAACAATGCACTAGGAATATATCTCAGTGTAAAGGCCCAGGGTTCAGTCCCTGTACTGGTCTCCTCCCCAAATTCCCTTCTATCTCTGTCCTGGAAATGCGTCTGTTAGGCCAACTTGATCCTCTCTTCCTGTTTTCCGTGTTGCTTGAACGCTGGGTCGCAGAGACTAGGAGTCCCTTGGTTTCTCCTAGTCACTGTGTCTCCACCTCTGTCTCACTCCTGTGCCCTTCCCCACCCTGTACCCTTTCCAGGGTCTGGAAAGCTCTCAGTTGCCTCTCATGAGCTGAGGTGCAGCAGTGACATGGCAGATGTGGGTGTGCTGGTGGGCTGGTCCACTCCCGCCCCTGAGCACGAGCTAATAAAGAAGACTTCCTTGAGCACTGTAGCCAGCCCACCTCCTTTGAGTTTCAGCTCAGAAACCCAGCAGGTTACCATTTGTCTCTTTGCAATTTGGACTGCAGTTCAGAGAAAGTCCCAGAGGCCAAATCTTACCAGCCCCTCTTTGTGTAAATTAAATTGTACTGAATTGCAGCCATGCTTGTTCATTACATGTTGCCTGTGGCCACCCCGAGCCACGGGGCAGAGCTGAGGAGTTGCTGCAGACTGTGTCTCCTACAAAGCCTGCAGTACACACTGATCTAGCACTTGCCTCAAGCTCTCATGGCTATTACCTTCAGCTTTTGTCTGTGTTCCTTTCTCAGAGTCTGTTTTTCCTATGACAAAGGAGACCAGGGAGTGTTTACTTGTCACTGCTGTATACCAGGCACTGTACTCAGCCCTTCATGACTACATCACATGTAAGCCTCACACCAGCCCCGTGATCTTGATACTGCTTTTTCCATTTTACAGGCACAGAAACTGAGTCTTGGGGAACAAAATGCCTTGTCCAGTGGCAGTGGTGGAGTGGGAATTCAGACTTAGGCTTGGATGTTCTGCGGAGTCTTGCCTCTCTTGAGGGCAGGGGCATGTCTAATTAAGCCACTCTGTGTTGAGCTGTAAACTCCATAAGGCAGAACCCTCCCTGGGATGTAGGGCCCAAGACAGGGCCCCTCTGCACTTGGGGCCATTAGGTGATATATCACTACTGCGTGGTAGGAAGGTGATCAGTATAGATGTCTCACTCAAGTGCAGGGTCTGCTCGGACCTACAGGAGGTCAGCCAAGGCTGCATCTCTGTCTCTACCTCCTTCTCTTGCTACTAGGTGGCAGAGAAAGGAACAATAGTGTATAGTGACCAGATGAAGGCCTAGCATGATACTGAACTTTTTGTTGTTGTTGTTGTATTTGGGACAGGGTCTGCAGGGTCTCACTACATAGATCAGACTCGTAGTGATTCTGTTTTCAGCCTCCCAAGCGCTGGGATTACAGGCGCACACCACCATGCCCAGTTTTTTTTTTTTTTTTTTTTTTTGTGTGTGTGTGTGTGTGTGTGTGTGTGTGTGTGTGTTTGGCCAGCTCAGCCCACCAGGGGGCGGGGCTGGCTGGTATGTGGTGCTGGGGGATTGAACCGCGGTCCCTGTACTTTGCTAAGCTTGTTCTAAGTAGGTGCTTTGGACCACTGAGCCATCTCACCAGCCCTGAAGGCAGAAGTGGTTTTTTTTTTTTGTTTGTTTGTTTGTTTGTTTTTTTGCTCTGAATGCCTTCAGGGCATGTTTGGCTGGCTTGAGTTGTGGGGATCCAACCACAGCAACCTGAGCCTGACTGCTTTGTTGAAGCAGCCACTTAAAGAACTGAGCTAAGGGGCAGGCCCCCCATGCCCAGTTTCAATTGCTATCTCAGTGCATCCCAGGGCAAGGCTGGGGCTGGCAGGACATGCCAGGGATTGAACCCTAGCTGCTGCAGTCTGCTTAAGCAGGCACTTTAGTCTGCTGAGCTATTATTTACTGAGTTTTTTTTTCCAATTTAAAATGATTTTTAAATTTATGGTGATAAAGTATATAAGGCTTGCCATCTTAAGCACTTACAGTGTACGTTAAGAGCTTTCTGCTTTCAAAAGCCTGCCACCCTATGTAGGGACCATGACCAGTAACATTGATCTCAGTGGGTGCACATTAGATGTGCAGAGCCTCTCAGGCTTTTCCCCAGACCAGAACTTGTGCTTGTATAGTGTTCTCAGGGCGTTCTTGTACACAAAGAAATTTAAAAACATTGGTTCAAACCTCACAGTAGCCTGGCAAGCTCACTACCATTGAACTGTATCCCCAGCCTGAAGGGTGTGGGTGTGTGTGTGTGTGTGTGTGTGTGTGTGTGTATTAGGGTGTAAAAGAATTGTGGCTCAGACATTGAGCTGGTGGACTCCAATTAATACTTTGAATCTGATGGTGAAGGTGGTACGGCATGTGGAAAAGGAGGCTTGCTTGTAGCTGGGCTCCCTTGGGCACTAGTTCCACCTTGGTTCGTTGACCCCTTCCGCAGACACTTGCTAAGCTTCTGTTGCACAGTGTGCTGGGTGGCCAGGACACAACAGTGTGTACAACAGACATGGTTTGAACTGTTGGACAAGGGACACTGTTCCTCTGTCCTCTTAAGTTCCAGGTCTGGGGCTTATGAATCAAACCTATAAAGGATTGACAGGAGGAAATATTCATTATATACACACAGGGAGGTGGGCCTCCCCAAAAATGAAACTCTCCAGAAGTGAGTAGGCCTAGGAGCTTGGATACCAGTGATGGCAAACCCTTTAGAGCTCTCAGTGGTAACAACCAGCTGTGGCATGTGTGCTGTAGGTTCACTGTTGTTGTATACCATTTTAACAAAGAGTAGAAAATTTTCAGAGAAATGACAAAACCAAGGAAAAGAGCTGTGGGCTTTCTGGGGTGGCAGTTGTAAAAAAGTAAATACTGGGAGAAACTATATAAGCTAAAGATTATTTGAATAGGGCTGGTTTGTGTGGACCCATCTTGAGACTGCCATGAT